TGAAAACTATCCACAAGGGCGATGATACAAAATAAAGATCAACAGTAATTAAGAAAACGTACACAATAATTGGGATACAAATTCAGAAGCTGAGAGGTTGCAAGATGTAGAGAGGAAAGATTACAAGAGAGGTTTAAGTTAATACAAAATAAAGATCAACAGTGATTAAGAAAACTTACACGGTAATTTAGATACAAATTGGAAAGTTGAGAGATTGCAGGATGTAGAGAGGAAAGATTATAAGAGAGATTCTAAAATTGGATAAAGAAAACATCTTCAATAGAACAAATGCGTGTGATTGTACCGTGATTTGCTATAGTAAATATGCTACGGTGAAAGTTCCATGATAATTAGTCAATAAGTAGACAGTTGTGCCATTTTCTGATTTTGATGGTGAGTGAACAATAACTTGTTTGCATTTTCTGCTACAGTGTAGCATCATTGTTGCTAAGTTTCTGGTAGGTATGATATGCATGATTGATTCCATAATAGCCATTTAATTGGTATCTTCGCTATGGTATGATTTACATAAGCTACTATTATTTAATTGATTTTTGAAATGATATTTTTCCAATACTACATTTTCTGATTTTGATGGTGAGTGAACAATAACTTGTTTGCCATTTTCTGCTACAGTGTAGCATCATTGTTGCTAAGTTTCTGGCAGGTATGATTTGCATGATTGATTCCATAATAGCCATTTCATTGGTATCTTCGCTATGGTATGATTTGCATAAGCTGCTACTGTTTAATTGATTTTTGAAATGATATTTTTCCAATACTACATATTCATTTGGTGATTGCACAGTTGCAAGATAGGCTGCTGCAATAATTTTTGTTGCAAAATGATGCAATTTATCATCATGCAAATCAATATATTCCTTGTGATTTGGGAATTTCGGTGATTTAGCCAATTTGTGATTGACTCTTGAGAAATTTTCTTGAGAAAAGTTGAAACTATCCTACCATTTGGTTTTGTACCTTCTAACCACATTAGATTGAGGACATTAGTGTGATGAAGGGGCAATTATAATCAACTCCCCAGGCTGACACCTAGGAGACTCGAAAGTTGATAAAGAAATGCATAAGGTTTGAAAATCTTGATTTATATGGTGTTGGGACAAATTTGTCCTTGGTTTGTGAGGGTAATATTTCAATCACGGGACCAAAATGTTCTCGGCAATGTTGAAACCAATTGGGTAATTTGGTTGACTGGGAAATTTGTTTTGAAGTAGACTGGGTCATTGTTATTTTTGCGATAAAAAGCATTCCACCATTCTTGTTGGTAAATCACCATAAGTGAAGGTGGGATTTTAGCAATGGCTAGATCACTGAGATTCCCAAATTACCCCTAGAAACATTGACCGGTCCAAATCACATCATAGCGGAGATACCAATGAAGATGACCGTTACGAAATTAATCTTTCAAATGAAGAAGAATAAAAAATACCAAAAGACGCCATTACTGTAGCAAAAAATGGCAGACAGGATACTGTTCACTCACCATCAAAATAAAAAATGGCAGATAAACAACTATTCACTCACCGACTTATTATGTATAAGACTGTAGCACTTTCACGGTAGCACTTTTACTAAAGCAAATCACTGTACAATCAAGTTCTATAGACATCACGAGCATTTATGTTATAAACAAACATATGCTCTTCACCCAATTTCATAAGCTCTCTCCTCCTTCTCGTCTTTCCCCTCTACTTCTTGCAACTTTCCCTTCTAAATTTGTATCTTAATTATTGTGTAAGTTTTTTCTTAATCACTTTTGATCTTTATTTTGTATCAGCTCAAACCTCCCTTGAGTGTGGATTGACATCCGAAATTTGATTCGTAATTAATGATATCTAAGATATTAAATTAGTCAGAGTTATTGAGGAAATAAAATTAATTTAGTAATTCTCAACGGGGATCGATACGCTCCAAATATGTATTGAATAATTTTCAAACATCAAAATAATTTTTTTAAATGTAAAGCATCTACTCAAAATAACATAATATCTTCACCTTTTCAACCAAACCATGCCATTTGTCACCATTTTAACTTTAACTATCAACATGCTTTTATTTGAAGACATTAAAATCTAGCTCTTGATCTTGATGATCTCATGCATGACATATGATTATTTTAACCCTAGTAACTTTATATCTACTATTAACTTTAGCTACTTGATGTGATTATTTTTAACTCAAGCTAATAAATGTGATTTCAAATTACTCTCCAATAAAGAATAAAGAGGAAGGCGAGAGATAAAATTATCTTTTCCCGTCCCTCTTTTTTTATTGAAGAGTAACTCGAAATCACATTTATTAGCTCGGGTTAAAAATAATCATATCAATTGATTAGAGTTAATAGTAGATATAAAGCTATTAGGGTTAGAATAATCATATGCATAAAAGATCATCATCAAGAGTTAGATTTAATGTGAGAATTGAGACATTTATTCAAGTTAAAATGGTGACAAATGGCATGATTTAGTTAATAGAATAGAGTTAGATTTAATGTGAGAATTGAGAAATTATACGTATCGTATAATTTTCAAATATGTTATTTGGAGGAGATGCATTGCAGTAAATAAACAAGGAAATCGGTGTTCATTTGAACAAAATATATAAAACAATAGGAATATCTTAACTCGGAAAAATTTTAATATTTGAAAATTATACGATACGTATTTTGGAGTCTCTCTCTCTCCACCTCCCTCCGTCCCTCTTAAATCCATGGCCACTACTTAGTTTCAATGCCATACCAAAATTAACACAAAGCCTATAGGCTCAAGCACAGTCAAGCCTAGTCTAAGCTTCTCAAATTTTTTTCGATTCCATCCTTAACTATTTTTGTGTCAATTTAGTCCTAGAATTTAATTCATCTAACTAATTTTGACCGGCCAGCACTAACGTTGATGCTGGCCACACCTCATTTCAAACTCTTGTAGATGTTTGCTGTTACGTTTGATCAAATCGAGGTCAGGCTGTCATGATGGTGGGGACTATCCCAATTCCCATACCATTAAAAGATAGTAGAACAGAATAATTGTCCTACATTTTATCTCTCGAACCAGTAAGCTGCGAATTCTTAGCATTTTTTGGTAAATGATTTTCTATGATAGCCCACCCTTTTTAATCATGTCTGCAGTTTCCTACTTTGTATCTTGCGCATGTTGCATCACCAAAATCTTGTCTATACTGATCTGAGTTTTTTTTTATATGTAAACACACTTTAATAGTGATTTTGTATGTAGACATTTGAATATATGAATAAATTTTTTGTGCAGTTAGTACCCTTTTATACAGAAAATTGTGAATTTTTATGTAATTACAACGTATAAAAAGTTACCAGTCACGTGGCAAAAAAACTAGTTAATGAAAAGTTGGCAGTTTTTTATCCTACGAAATTTAATAATTATAGCGACAAAAAGTTACTTAGCATAACTTGCAATATTAATAATTAGTTTGGCGGTTAATAATTGCTAATAAAATGGGACGATTCTTAGTTTTTAGGTCGGACAAATGGGGGAAAGGCGGCCTGAGCTGCTGGGCATGACCAGTCATGTTTGTGAAGGGCTCGGCATCAAGGAAGTGGAAAGAATTAAATGAGAGCGGAGTATTTCAATGCCAAAACCACGTGGTCTTAGTTTTATGTTTCATGTTTTAATCACATTATTGCCACGTAGGAGAGAGAAAATTTTTAAAAAAGCTACGTCAGCATTTTCCGTTAGTCAAGTTGGACGGAATTAATGAAAGGACTCGATTGCACTTTTTGCAAGTTTTAAGACTTCCGATATCCCTTCAGTTAACAAAAGTAATGGCCACTTCAGCTATCTATGTTAGAATTGTAACGGAAGGACTACAATGAGTGACTTTTGAAAAGTTCAAGGATTAAACTGAAAAAGAAAAAAATTTATGGATCATATTAAACATCGAAGAAAAGCTTAGGGACCACCATGTCATTATCCCTTAATTGAAAAACCTTAAATTATGCTACAAAGTTAAAGTAAAAAATATTCACTAGATGTATATGGGTTACAAATTGAATAGCAAAATAATTAAAAGAGGGGAAGGGAGGGGCAATGAATTGCTAGCTTTGTGAAAGAGGAGCTCTAATAAAATCATCTGAGCAAAATGGCAGAAAATGGATATATAGCTTGATTGTGCTGTCTTATTCAAACCGGTAAGATAGACTATCTTCGCACGGAGTGTTGTATTCAGGCAAAGCATCGGTATTTAGTCAAACGGTGGAATGCAAGCAATTATATTTATCCGGTGATAACAAGCGAGCCGTGACCATCAATGGCCATGTTGCATCCGAATCCATCGCATTTGTAGCTTGGAGAAGATAACACGGGAGAGTACCGCTTGTTCGAATAGAGTAATTGCGGGATATATATGGAGGACTTCAAGAAGATGACATTGGAGGGCGATACCGGTTTGATTTCGAATGGTCGTGTGATTTTTCATGGAGGACTTCGTGATCCAAGATGCAATCACTCTCACGTGTTTTTCTCACGTCGAAGTGGCCAAGAACAAGAAAAGTTTCCCGTGGCCTCGTCTTGTTTTTGTATAATGTTGGATTAGACTTCACGCATACGCGAGGTTAACTAAAATCGATGGTGAAAATAAATAAAAAATAAAAAAAATACTCTAAGTCTGGTATAGTATTTCATCTTAAGCAATCGCGTCATTCTTGAAGTTCTGCATACATCAGTCTAGTATCGTTTGATATTGTTTCTCATGATTGAGATTTTCGTAGCTTCAAGATAAATTTTTGCCAAAAGAACCTCTATCCTTGCGTAGTGCGCGAACGTGCATGAAAACATTGCCTTCTTGAATGGAAGCCAAAGAAAGCCAAAACAACTGCACTCTCCGAAAAAAAAAAAAAAAAAACCAACCCTGCTTCTCTGTGGGAATATTTCAAGCTTACGTCTTCTGTCACATGCCAACGCCCAGAAGCTACCGCAAGAAGAAAAGCGGGCAAAAGCGGGCAAAAGCGGTTATTCTAAAAAGAGAGGAGGCAAATACACAACCTTGACGATCTCAAGCCATATACAAATGTCCATATTCCAGAACCATGTGATTGAGGAAACCCTCAGTAATAGACGCCCGTATCCATTATTGAGCAACTCGTGCATATAGCTTCGTCTACAGAGGTGTATTCCAACTGGATCGAGATCCGTTTTCTAAACAAAAGCCTGCCCATTCGACTTCGTTCATCTCCAACTTGTCACATTTGCATCTGTAAATACAGCATTATGATGTTCTACGAGGTTCTGAACAACCTCAACAGTGGCTGCCGGGTCATCAGTTTCACCTTCCTCTGCAAACATTGAAATCGACAAGATATGTGAGGAGTCGAGTGAAAAAAAGGTTATCACTTCACGAAACTAAATTGCTGCTATTCAAGTCCACAGTCACCAACGAAGCTGATTAATATCCTTTGGGGGGCCACATCAATATAATAGTTCAAGCCTCCATGTAAGTTCTTCAAACTTGCTGATTTCCTTTCCAGTAATGTTCTTTAAGACTCCTGAATTCGTTCTTCACCAAATATTTGTCTGTCTCTTCTCTTTGTAAGTATTGACCGTTATAGGATGCCAAATCTTTCAAAATACATAAACAACCAAACAATATCTTCCCACTATAATAACACCATTATCGCTAATTGTAGACCAAATTGAAACATATTACCAGAAATATAAACTTAAGGAGAACAATAACCTGCAAGCATGTCCCAGGCACTAATTGCTGCAGCTGGGTCTACGTTTTTAGGAGGGCTTCCCAATAGCTTGTTCCAATATTCCCTATAAAACTCAGGGTTCCTCCCCTTCTGCCACATCAAAACTGGGGCCATCTCAACTGCGAGGCTCCGAGCATCCATCTGTGCAGAAATAAAAACCAGTCTAATCAGATAGGTCACTATTTGCCAGAAATGTCCATTTTCTGATGACAATATCTGGACCAGATTAACTTCCCAGAAATTTAGCAGCAGAGCTAAAGCATGTCGCCCCAATGATCTAAAGGTTAAGTAATTGTTTGACGCCTCAGAGTAGAGTAAATTGATTAAATGCCCACAACACCATGAGATTAGCCAACAACATAGAAATGTGAACTGCTGCTTTGGAGCTGCTGAAACTGACAATGCACTGTTTGACTGTTCATATTCCCTCACGTTGCTCAAGAAGAAGAAGAAGAAGAATGAGTCATACCAAAACAAACCGACGGTTCCCCCCATATTCCAGTGATGCCTAAAGACGATGTCTGTACATAAATGACGAAACTGAGCAACCTTGACAGTGAAATACTAGTTATATCAGTTCTTCCTTATAAGATCATCTTCTACTTTTGTCTACTAAGTAATAAAGTGGTGAGACAATTAAAAGTTATACTTGCTAAAAGCACTAAAATGTGGGCGACTTGTGTACTAGGACGCCCTTTAATTGCTAAAGGCACTTAATATGCAAATTAGGATCATAGACACCATTACATCAATCTTCACTATGTTTTACTGCCAATAAGAACAAAAATAGGAGGCATGCATGCATGAGAGAGAGAGAGAGAGAGAGAGAGAGAGAGAGAGAGAGAGAGAGACAACCTTGTTAAGATGTGAGTTCTGGCTGATGCGGAGCAACAGTGCTGTTATATATTCTAGTGTCATGTAATTTGCACTGGGAAGTCTCTCTAATATGCTTCTCGTTGCTTGTACACTAGAACGAGCACCTTTTAACTCTTCATAGAGATCAAAGGTTGTTAATGGCTCCGGAAGGCTTGCGAGGTAGCATTTGGCAAGTATAGCCACATCCAGTGGATTTGTATCATTGGGAAGTGAGGCATCTGGGTCTGCGGAACAAAGGAAGGTATTTAGCACCTCAAACACTCTAAATTAAACAATTGAAAGTCAAGTATGTTATTGATCAGAAAAAGTTGAAAGTCAAATGTGCAATGATGGAACATGTACTATACCTTCATTGTATTTCATAACCAATTGCTGAATAACCTCCTTATCTCCTTCAGATTTGAACAAACTCTGAGAATTTAACCCTAAAAATAAAAACAATAGACGAATTACCATTGATGCTTTCAATTGTGTGACAATAATCCGGAAAAATTCACACACCCATAACCACCTGTACTTATAAGATAATCAGCACATTTGATCAAAATATTAGGAACAGGCCTGCTGGATTGTTGCCGTTGCACCATGATCTCAATTGGGACACCAAACGCTGCAAACAAAGATTAAATTTGCAACTGTGACTCTGCAATCTAGTAGAAAGACGTCAGAGAAAGTTACTACAATCTAGAAGGACAGTCCATTCTGTAGAATGACTAAAGCAAGAAAAAGATTTTGGTCTAACGTTGAGGAGTCGCATAATTGTAAGAACCTCCAAAGACAAATCTGCTTGTCATAACCATTTTGACAATTTGAAAACGAGTTCTGTGGTGATAACATAGCATGCTCTAGTATCCCCTTTCTGGATCCCCGAAAAGAATAGTCAATTCAGTAAGAACCGTCAAGTAACACCATAAGAGCTGAAAGTGAAGGAATCCCTTCTTGAACTCCCTCTCTTTGATGGAAAATTCAATGGAAGAGATAGAGTGAGAGAGAAGAAAATTATACTTAAGGGCCTGAAACTTTGTCATGTTGCTTCATACCACAACAATCCAGAACACCACAAATATATGGTTATCCATACCCAAAAATGAAGATGCCTCGACAATTTCCAGAGAATAATACAAATATCTCAGCACTTTGAAAAGAGTCAGTACAAACAGAAGTAAATGAACTGTATGGCCAAGCCCAAGATGCAAGTCAATTACCATCCGAGTTAGAAAATCCCTGCGACAGCAAGAAAACTCGTCAGAATCTTGCAGTTAATTCACAGAATGGATGAGGGAGTAACATATGCAGTCCGCCTCGTAATTCTTTACCTTCTGCCGTCTTTCCATATCTGTAATAATGGATTTACTTCTCTGTGCAGTCTTTTTTGCCACCTGAAGAATCATTTCTTGAATAAGTACGTCATCTTTTAGAATTGTACGCTAGCAAACCATTGCTGTTTAATAAGTATATGAAGTTTACTTTTGACAACATGTAAAATGGAGAATACGGTTCTAAATGATCAAAATCACAAAGAGAGATCTGGTTCTGCAATGGTAAACAACTGAACCCTATTTTGAGATCATGGGCAAGAAAGGGACCATCAAGTGCAAGACCCTTTAAAAACAACCAGTTAGGTTTGATCCCTAGGCTGCAGGAAGATAAAGCCAAACTCAGTTTAAGGATGTTTAGACCGTGGAGCTACTTTTGCTTCGTACGCGAGCCAGATAATGATGCCCTTTTATCATATCTAACAATAAATGGTGATCTTGAAGAACTAAGTAACAAGTGTTGACACGATGAATACACTAAGATCATCAAATAAATCCAAGTCTCGACACAACCTACCTCTTCGACTTTCGTCTTGCCAACTACAACTTTATCCTTAGTGCCAGATATACCCTTTCTCAGAAAAGAGCCAGTAGAGGCAGCCGTTTCTATGAGACGCTCTTGGACTGCATGTCTCACCGATGGTTGCTGAAGCAGTACCCATCGGCTTTTCACTGCTGATCCGACCCTGCCTGCAATTTCAGTAACATTGCCTTTCGCATCCTTTGCTACCTCACCAACAAATGCTCCGGCATTCTTTCCCGCTTCTTTAAGTCTCCCACCTAAATTTGCACCTTGAAGTCTAAGCCATGGACAGTGAAATGACAAAATAAGCTTGTACAGAAAGAATCGGGTATACCTGATGAAGAAAAGAAGCCCGTTGCCCTGTCGTGCCATGGAGCCGACACAGCTGAAGACATTGGTAAGTGGCAATCGGCACTTCTTTCACACGCTACGAAAAGATCTTCTCCTGGATGAATCCGCCAAACGTGTATCAGAAACACTGACAAGTAGACCATTTAAGAACAAAATTGAGCTCCCAAGAGAATCTAACTAAAGGCTGCTCGATTACACAGTAAAAAAGCCAGAATCAATTTTCTTTGTTCCTTGTTTCACCATAAATGGGTCGACTCTAAAAAAAAATAAATTTACTCCAAATTTAATTCTACTTGCAGCTGCTCTGAGTCCCTCTATCGCCGAAGCATCAAAGGTACAACACAAGTTCAAATTCGAGAAGCAAATTACGAGTCTCAATATATCGGTTGGATTGGTTAGCCACCATTTCAGCGGTCAAAGACGACGCTTCTCATCGAGGATTCTTCAGAAACTTTGAACGAGTCGAAGATCCTAGTTTTGCCATGCGCGACCAAAATTTGAGATTTTTCGATGACCCCGACATCGAAACGACAAAACAACGATGTACAGACAAAAGGGGAATAAAAAAGATCCGACCCATGATGTATCTACACATGGAATCAAAAGAAAAACTCGCGGAACACAGAGACAATCGATCCAAACCAAAAACCCAGAATCGACAAGAGACAGAGAAACTTCACCTTAGGCTCAACGATTCAGTCCCACCTCAAAGAGAGAGCTTCTCTCTCTCTCTCTCTCTCTCTCTCTCTCTCTCTGTTCTGATGAGCAGAGAGAGCTTCTTGTTCGGTTTGCTGAGAGAGAAACGAAAAAGGGAAGAGAGAGAGAGAGGTTGTGATGTAGAGAGAGAAAAAGTCGACTCTGGCATCCGCGGTTACGACTGGCCAGGCTTGAGGCAAGAGAAAGAGATGGTGCGCGCGTGACAGAATGTTTTATAATTTATTCAACCACAATTATTACAGTAATTGTCCCTTTCAAAGAAGCCATCTTGGCTTAACATGTTGATTAGTTGTCCCCTCCTTTGAAAAATCAAGCTCTCACGACAGGACAGGAAGATAACACGTTAACTGTAATGAAAACTTTGGCCCACACAATCATCTCGCCACAGCATCGTGGAGTGAACATTTAAAATTATTCTATTTTCGAAGATACGACGAGCTATTCGAAAGTGAGACTGACCAATTTCTTCCGGATAAGTGCCAAAATTCATTATGAGACGGGGAACTGACCCGATTGATCTTGAAAGTGACCTAAAAACCGGCCAACAGGTCAACCGGGGGAATCGGCTTACCTTTTTTTCTGTTTCATTTTTTAATTAATTACTCAATTATATACATAATTTTGAAAATTTTCTCAATTGAGATACTGTAATGACTTGGAATGCTCAATGTTTTTTTTTTTTTCAAACGTTCTCAGCTAAGGGACTAGTTGTTTGGTTTTGAATAGGTTCTATGTGAACCAGTTATTCAGGTAAGGCCAATCCAATTTGGTTCTCAGGTTATAGTCGCCCAATTACTAACCCCCAATTTCTCCTAACTAATGTCTCGGCAGATCATTTTTTGTGTGATAGCATGAAGATATTATATCTATCTCAAGATATTCTAAATTTGACCTAGGAAATTAACATATAATTGTCATGTGGTAGATTAATAATAAACTTTTGAATGAGTCAATCTCATGTAAGATTTTACCGTCTCACATAATACATCAATTTCACCAAATCAATCTTAAAATACCAAGCATCACTCCGTCTGGACCATATCTTAGCACAACACACCATGCATTCTTCATGTATCATTACATGCATCGAGTGTGAAGTTATTTACGAGTTAAACATGTGAAGACGGTAACAGGCTTAGGGAACATCGAGTTAATAGGGAACGAGAAAGAATCAGACATAGGACCCACCCTAGTTCACTAGGCACGAAACATAAAACTGAAGGAGGCCAGACAAAACACTTTCCTTCTTGAGCCCCAGCTTATCCAATGAGGCCCAATTAGTGAATGGGATGGAACAGATGGGTTCTGCTGGAGGATCATCTGAGATTGCTTTTCTCCTCAAATCTAAGAAGAGAGGACATTGCTGGTGTTGTGTCTGCTCTGGAGTGCCCGTGACTTATGTGAGTCGACCATGACTTTCCTTTGCTCCAGTAGTCAGCTGTGATCTGCTTTTATTTAGGCCGTTTACTTAGGAAGTTTTGTGTGCACATCTTTTATTACTTTTTATTGTGTGATCCTTGTATTTTTAGTAGTTTAGCCTAATTATGAGTTTGTTTGATAGCTGTATCTTCTTGTATATATGTTACGTTTCTGTGGCAATGAAGAACATAATTCTCATTCCAAAATTTCTCAGTTCTTTTACATGGTATCAGAGCCATGGCTGATGGAAAAAAAGATGAGGAGAGTTCTGGAGCGGACAAGAAAACCTTTAGTCCTTACACACTGAATTCGAATGACAACCCGGGTAACCTGATTACCCAAGTTCAGTTGAAGGGCGAGAATTATGAAGAATGGGCGCGAGCTATGCGGACTGCATTACGAGCCAAGAAGAAATATGGTTTTATTGATGGATCTGTCAAGCAACCAGCAGATGATTCACTGGAACTTGAAGATTGGTGGACAGTTAATTCCATGTTGGTTTCTTGGGTGTTTAATACCATTGAACCAACACTTCGCTCGACTATCTCTCACATGGAGAATGTGAAAGATCTGTGGGAGGATATCAAGCAGAGATTTTCGATTGGGAATGGTCCACGGATGCAGCAATTAAGATCGGATTTGGCCAATTGTAGGCAGGATGGTCATCCCATCGTGTCCTATTTCGGTAAACTCAAAACCTTGTGGGATGAAATAAATAACTATGATCAGATACCAGTGTGTGTTTGTACAGGTTGCAGATGCGATCTTACCATTGTATTGGAAAGAAAGCGTGAAGAAGAAAGAGTTCATCAGTTTTTGATGGGCTTAGATGAAGAAGGATATGGAACAGTGCAGCAAGAGCGAGTGCGAACTATGACACGAACCAAGGATGAAAGAGGCAATCCCATGAGTTTTGCAATCCGGGCAGGTGGTCAAAATTCAAGGGGGGATAAAGATAAAATCCCGTTTTGTTCTAATTGCAACCGAGAGGGACATGATGCTGAAAGTTGTTTCCAGCTAATAGGATATCCAGAATGGTGGGGTGATAGACCACGTGGAACCTTTGCTGGACAAGGTAGTGGTCAAAAGCGTGGTAATAGAGGTGGACGAAACAAGGGAGGAGGTGCTAGTGCCAACGTCTCACAGGCAACTGGAGTTGATGGTGGGCGAGGAGTTGTGACGGATTCAGATCGAAAGGGTCTTAGTGGATTGAATGATGAGCAGTGGGCGACTTTGCTAGGAATGTTAAGTTCTCATCAGAATGGTACCCATGAGAGGTTGATAGGCAAGCAGAGTATTTTTCCTTGGATTATTGACACAGGAGCTTCCCACCATATGACAGGAACGTTGGCATTTTTGAGAGAATTGCGTGACATTATGCCATGCTCAGTCGAATTACCTGATGGAGAAAAGACCATGGCAGTGAAAGAAGGAACTGTGTTGCTTGGAGGAGACTTGAAATTGCGACGAGTTCTTTTTGTGCCCAATTTGAAATGCAATCTGATTTCTGTATCACAACTTCTTAATGATTCAAATTTGGTTATCCAACTCACTAACAAAATATGTGCTATACAGGACCTAAATTCGAGGAACCTGATTGGAGCGGGTGAGCAACGCTAGGGGCTTTACTTTCTCAAGGGAGTGACTTCGGTACATGCTTGCAAGGTGGATGATATGGAATCCTTTGAACTTTGGCATAAAAGAATGGGTCATCCTTCTTCTAAGGTGGTGGAGTTAATTCCAGAAGCTGGCAAAATGGTTAGGAAAACCAATAAAACTTGTGAGGTTTGTTTTAGAGCAAAACAAACAAGAGAGATCTTCTTTTCTAGTGACAATAAAGCTAAAGATTGTTTTGAATTGATGCATTGTGATTTGTGGGGACCTTATAGAGTCCCAGCTTCATGTGGAGTAATTTATTTCTTGACAATTGTTGATGATTACTCTCGTGCTGTGTGGATATATTTGCTGAATGGAAAAAATGAAGTGGCCTGTGTTCTTAGGAAATTTGTTGCGATGGTTAAATGTCAATTTGAGAAAAATGTGAAAATCGTTAGAAGTGATAACGGAAGTGAATTTTTGTGTTTGAAAGAATATTTTGATGAACATGGGATATTGCATCAAACTTCTTGTGTTGGAACACCTCAACAAAATGGCCGAGTGGAAAGAAAGCATCGCCATATCCTTAATGTTGCAAGAGCTTTGCGTTTCCAAGCAAATTTACCCATAGAATTTTGGGGAGAATCTGTACTCGCAGTTGGGTATTTGATTAACAGGACTCCATCTATATTATTGAATGGTAAAACCCCATATGAGATTATCTTTGGCCAACCTCCTTCTTACAAATATATTCGGATTTTTGGTTGTTTGTGCTATGCGCATAATCAGAATCGGGATAAAGATAAATTTGCTAGTAGAAGTCGGTGGTGTATTTTTGTTGGTTATCCGTTGGGAAAGAAAGGGTGGAGATTGTATGATTTAGAAGCTGATGAATACTTTGTATCAAGAGATGTAGTGTTTGCTGAAACGGAATTTCCATATGCTGATGAGAAAACAGTAAGTGATGAACTCATTAAAAATAGAGTTATGGAGTTGGGTGATGAAGTTGATGATTTAAAAAGTGACTTGAGGGAGGAATTGATCCACACAAACAATGAGGACGTGGAAAGAAGTGAAGTCGTCGCCGAAAGTGTAGATAGAGAAAATGAGTGAATCATGAAATGGAGGAATTGATCCACACAAACAATGAGGACGTGGAAAGAAGTGAAGTCGTCGAAGAGCAGCTAGGCAGGGGACAAAGGGTCAAGCAACCTTCTATATGTTTGAAAGATTATGTGACAAACGCCATCAGAATAAGCCCCTCGACATGCTCATCTACCCAATCTGATTCCTCAGGTACGCCTTATTCTATAGCACGTTATGTGAGTTATGAAAAATTTTCTACGCAACACCGGTGTTTCTTGGCAACAATTACTGCAGGACATGAACCAAACTCTTATGCGGAAGCGATTAAAGATGAACGGTGGAGAGAGGCCATGAGTAAAGAAATACAGGCTTTAGAAGATAATGGCACATGGACAGTCGAAAATTTGCCGCCCGGAAAGAAAGCAATTGGGAGCAAGTGGGTGTATAAAATTAAGTACAATTCTGATGGAAGTGTTGAACGATACAAGGCGCGATTGGTGATACTGGGAAATAATCAAGTCGAAGGCATAGATTATCAGGAGACTTTTGCTCCTACGGCAAAAATGTGCACTGTACGCACCTTTCTTGCCGTTGCGGCTGCAAAGAATTGGGAACTTCATCAGATGGACGTTCAAAATGCTTTCTTACATGGCGATTTAGAGGAAGAGGTTTACATGAAGATGCCACCTGGCTTTGCCTCTCAATCATCAGGGAAGGTATCCAGACTCCGGAAATCTCTATACGGTTTGCGGCAAGCACCTAGATGTTGGTTTGCGAAATTGGCTGCATCTTTGAAAGCTTATGGATTTCAACAATCATATTCAGATTACTCCTTGTTCACTTTTCGAGTTGGGACTGTTCAATTGAATGTGCTTATTTATGTTGATGATCTCATTATCTCCGATAATGATATTTCCGTTGTGCAAAAGTTCAAGAACTATTTGAGTCGTTGTTTTCATATGAAAGACTTGGGGAAGCTGAAATTTTTCTTGGGGATTGAAGTGGCGAGAAACTCGGATGGTATTTTCTTGTGTTAACGTAAGTATGCGTTCGATGTGATTTCTGAGGTCGGATTACTGGGTTCCAAGCCAGCTAAAACTCCTCTTGAACAAAATCACAAGCTAGCCCTTACTGAGAGCGATGATGTAGACAACCCTGCTCAGTATAGGCGCCTAGTGGGTCGGCTTATTTATCTAACAATAACTCGACCTGAATTGTCTTACTGTGTGCATATTCTTGCACAGTTCATGCAGCGGCCAAAGAAAGCTCATTGGGAGGCAGCCATGAGAGTTCTACGTTATCTGAAAGGAAATCCAGGTCAGGGTATTATGTTGCGTGCCAATTGTGACCTGAAATTGTCTGCTTACTGCGATTCTGACTGGCCTAGTTGTCCTTTGACGAGACGATCTTTGACCGGTTACTTTGTTCTTTTGGGAGAATCTCCTATCTCGTGGAAGACTAAGAAGCAACAGACAGTGTCTCGCTCATCCGCTGAAGCGGAATACAGGTCTATGACTACTACAGTTTGTGAACTTAAGTGGTTGAAAGGATTATTGGATTCTCTTGGTGTGGCACATTCTCAACCTATGCACTTGTATTGCGACAATCAGGCAGCTTTACATATAGCCGCCAATCCTGTCTATCATGAGCGTACCAAGCATATTGAAGTGGACTGTCATTTTATTCGTAATGAGATACTTAATGGTAACATTCAAACAGATTACGTACGTAGTTCAATGCAGCCAGCTGATATCTTCACGAAGGCGTTGGGAAAGGATCAATTTAACTTTATTCTTCGCAAGTTGGGCATTCGAGATCCCCATGCTCTAACTTGAGGGGGGTATTGGAAAGGCAGCTGTGATCTGCTTTTATTTAGGCCGTTTATTTAGGCCGTTTACTTAGGAAGTTTTGTGTGCACATCTTTTATTACTTTTTATTGTGTGATCCTTGTATTTTTAGTAGTTTAGCCTAATTAGGAGTTTGTTTGATAGCTGTATCTTTTTGTATATACGTTACGTTTATGTGGCAATGAAGAACAGAATTCTCATTCCAAAATTCCTCAGTTCTTTTACAAATATGACTTAAAACATTCGGAACATATTGTGTTCAAATGCTGCTGAATATGCCAAAGAAAAAGTAGTGATCACTTTAACGAAAAAACGAGTTTATGACCATGAGAATTCATGCCGAATTTGGGTCGTGGTCCTTCGGTTTACCCGTCTCATGCTCTTGGCCCACAACTCTCTTCCAAAACCAATGTTCCCTCCAAACTCTATCCATTTGCTCGATGGGGATGTTCTTGGTCTCTGGCAACAGCAGGTACACGAATGCAGTCATTACAGCCACCCAACCCCCGAAAAAGAAGAAAATCCCCGACTTCAAGTGGCACAGCATTGCTAAAGATGTTTGGGCAAATGCGATGGTGAAGAGAAAGCTCACTGCGACTGTAATGCTCTGCCCCGCTGATCGGATCTCTAGTGGGTATATTTCGCTCGGAACAAGCCAACCTAGAGGCCCCCAGGACCAACGAAATCCGGCAACGTAGATGCAGATTGATAGCAATACCACATAAGCATACCCTGTGCTCAATCCACCGTGATCTCCTAGCTTAGCCGCCATTATTCCTTCGACCATCACTTGTGACACAAACATCTGAATGCCCCCCACCAGGAACAATGTTCTTCTGCCTAGTTTGTCTACTATGAGCATTGATATGAAAGTTGAACTGCAACCGATGACACCAATCACCACTGTGGACATGAGTGATGCACTTTCCCCCAGGCCTATGGCTCGGAACAGGATTGGCGTGTAGAATGCAATGACGTCGATTCCCGTGACTTGTTGGAAGAATGGAATGGCTATTGCCATGACTAGTTGAGGCCTATACTTCACTTGTCTGATGGTTCGAAAAGGGTGGCGAACGGTTTTTGTGTTTAAGTCTGCTTTGATGAGATCATCCAGCTCTGCCTGAATGCTGGGCGTCCCGCGCATGAGTTGCAGCATGGATTTGGCCTTTTCTTGTCCATTGTGGCTTTGGATTAGGCTGTTAGGTGTCTCTGGGAGGAAAAGCGCGCCGAGTGCTAGGATTGAGGCTGGGACCGCACCCATGGCGAGGGAAACTCTCCAACCCCAACCGCCTTTAATCTTCTCAGTTCCATAGTTGATGAGGCTTGCTGACAGAGCACCAATTCCTATTGAAAATTGGAAGCCATTGGTGAAAGCTCCTCTGTACCTTGGCGGTGCCATTTCTGAGAGATAAAGAGGAACTGACTGCCAATCCAATCAAACATGTGAAGAAATTGTTAAGCAATGTTCCAACCCATCAAAAACAGTTCATGTTTCATGAGGACTACCTGATTCGCAAAACCGATCCCAACACCAAGCAGAGCACGGCCTAATATAAGCATGTAAACATTGGAAGCTGCACCTTGAATGGCTGAACCGGCGAGGAATGCAGCACCTCCTGTCAATATTGACGGTTTGCGTCCGAACGCTCTAGTGACAAAAGACGCCAAAAAGGAAGCAAAGAGGCCAGCGATATAGAGGGAGGAAGTGAAGGAGGTCAACAATTGGCTATTGAACTTGCAGTAGTTACTGATCTCGGTGTCTTCAGTCATCTTGATATAGACTTCATGGAAGAACCTCTTCAAAAACGACTCCATTGAGGTCACTCCACCTTAGGAATTATTTGCACACTTATCAGAAACGACATCTTTATACAGATTCAGCTATCAGTGTTTACCTAACCTTACAATTTCAATTCTAGCAAAGACATTTTTTTAGCAAACTAACAAAGAACAGGGGCGTGCTTAATTACGTTAGGAACTCCATCTAATTAATCAGCACAAGACTACTTGGCGGTCATAGAACCACCATAGACAGACATTCGTCGAGAGCTAGCAGAGAAAAGAAAAGAAAGCAAGGTACTTTTCCTTTATGAGGAGCATCCAAAAAAATGGCAAGAAATGATGGGACGGACCTGAAATTCCAATGTCATAGCCATATATGACACCTCCCATGCCTGCCGTCAGACATGACAGTACGACAAACCAAGTTATATGGCCATTGTAGTTCCCCTCCACAGCACTCGCTACTGCTAATCCCACTGCCATAGCCTTCTTCAAACTTCCTCACAAACACAGAGAGAGGGAGAGAGAGAGAGAGAGAGAGATGCATGAAAAAGGAGTGTCTGTGTCTTGACTTGTAGTGACGAGGGAGATGGGGACGAAACCAGTTCGTAGAACATTCAAACTAATATCTCGTAGAATATATGTGGAGATTGTGGCATGAATGGGGTCAAGATTGACTAGTGAAGTGATGAATTTGTTCCCATGCGAGCTCCTTTGTCAGAGAACAAAAGGTATTGATTGTCTAAAATATCAAGCAAAGATTCCCGTAGTAAATTTCCAAGGGTTGCTTCTTAATTGTGCTTGCCCACAAGTGTTTCGTGGCCTTTGAAAGTTGTGATTTTGATGCACTGTCTATGGGGCTAAGATAAGATAAGTCATCCTATCTAGCACGTGGAATATGATATGTCTTTTATTTGAATAGATCCATTAAAAAAAACTTTCTATGACCACATTTCTGATTGGTGGGTCACAATTATGGATATCACTTATATTTATATTTAGTTAATTTCGTGCGAGAATAATGTCCACAACTCGTAACTCATCAATCAGAATAGTTTAGAGGAGGGTTGAAGAAAAATATAACTTATTTGGTTATGCCTAAGTTAGTTGGATATGATGGAATTATTGTCGATGTTGTTTTTAAACGTTTTTTCACAAATCATGTTCACAATGGTTTTTCAGTTTTACTGTATAGCATATCAGGCCCAACGTGCCCAAAAGCAAATTGGATGGGCTTGATCAAGGGTTTAGTTATAAAGCTCAAACGACTTTTCCTTAAATAGCAAGTCAGGCCCACCCAGGCCCAGGCCCAATCGATGATTACTCCCTTCATTCACAATCCACGTTAATGCTCGAACTCACCAACCTCTGGCAAGCTTAATCTATCGAGGCTCGAACTCGCCAGATCTGGCGAGAAGGAGCCTCACCAACTTGTGGCGAGGCTCGAGCTTGCCTATGGCCGGTCGTCGACCGTCACCATGGTCAGTGACTAGCCAAAGAAGAAGGAAAACGAAAGAAATAAAGAAATAAAAAATATTAAAAGGAGTGCACGGAAAAAAATCAAATTAGATTTTCCACACTGAACGGCGGAAAATACTTACCAATTCACTTTTAGGCTCCCTTTGTTTGCAAAAAATGAGTGATTTGAAAAATATTTTCCTAAAACTACTACCTATATCACTTACAAAAATTAACGAACGAAAAATATTTTCATCCTTCGTGAAAAATGTTTAGATATAAATTGTTGTCGGAAATGAAAACATTTTTCATGACTAATTATTTCGGGCGATACAAATAATCAATTTTAAAGAAAACATCTTTCAAATTATTTATTTTTCGCGAAACAGGCGTAGCTTTAAACTATATATCTTCAAAGTGAAATGAAAACTAACAAACAACACACCTATTTCTACAAGACTATTAAGTACGGAGGAGTATAGTCACACTTGAATCAAATTTGTAATTTAGCTAAGCTTAAAAACCAGAGTATAGCAAGTTTATCATGGACAATTTTCAGCCAAATAAGATTTTGTCATTTAATAGTGTAGAGCAATGCTTGATAGGAAGTACTTAAATTGCCAGACTCAATCACGGATTCTATTAGTCAAAATGATAACATTTGGGATATGTTCACTAGAAGTCCTAAAACTTGTCACTAAAATGCAATTAAGTCATAAAACTTGCAAAAGTTGCAATCGAGTCCTAAAACTTGTTAAATTGGTTCAATTGAGTCATAAAGTTAATACCTTCCAATTTGACTAACGAAAAATGATGACGTAGCTTTTTTTATTTTTTATATCCTACGTGGCAATGGCGTGGCATTTTTAATCATTATTTTAATATTAATTTTATTTAAATTTAATTTAAAAATAAGCTAAAATTAAAAATAAAAAAAAAAGGGAGCAGGAGGACAGTCGGGGAGGGAGGGCTTGCCCTCCCCCCCGCCGCCGCCCCACCATCACCGGGAGGGGCCGGAGAGGGTGGGGGGACGGCAGGCGGGGGTCGCCGAGCCTTGGCCAAGTCGGTGACCCTCGCAGGCGCTAGCCCAGACCTGGTCGAGGGTCGCCAGTGGCGGCCGACCCCCGCGAGATCTGGGGGAGGGTCGCCACTGGCAACCCTCGACCAGCTTTGACTGAGGGCCGGCAACCCTTGCCCTATCTGGGGGAGGGCCGCGACCCCTCGCTTGCCGTCAGCAAGGGTCGCCGGCCCCTGGCCGGGGCTCCGCGACCCCTGCTTGCCGTTCCCCCCACCCTCGCCGGCCACTCCTGGCGATGGTGGGGCGGCGGCGGCGGCAAGGAGGGCAAGCCCTCCCTCCCCGCCTGTCCTCTTCCCTTTTTTTTTTAAATCTTTTTTTAAAATTTAATTTAAATAAAAATAGTATTAAAAATCAAATTTTAACCAAAACGATATCGTTTTGGCCACGTCATCGCCACGCAAGAGAGAGAAAATATTAAAATAAGCCACGTCAACATTTTCCTTTAGTAAATTTGACGGAGTTAATATTAGGACTCATTTGAATCAATTTGACAAATTTTAGGACTTGATTGCACTTTTTGCAAGTTTTAGGACTCAATTACACTTTAGCGACAAGTTTTAAGGCTTCTAGTGAACATACCCCACATTTTTATGATGCTTTTGTCTCATAGAAAATCAGTTATTTGAAAAAAAAAATTAATGAAAAAGATCGCTTATATTTATATCATTTACAAATATTAGCCAAGCAAAAACACTTTTATTATGACCAGCAATATGTACCTAAATATCTTCATTGATGATGAAAAAGAGTTGCAAAATGCTTATTTTAGAAAAATATTTTTCAGATCTTTTATATTGGAGGAAACAAGCAAGTCTTTATTAGCGGTGATCGGTTCTCGATTTGATCCGGTTCCATCCAAGAACCGTGAATCAAACCGCCTAGTCCTGGAATCGGTCCGATCTGGTTCTCAGGTGGTCCAACGGAATCGGTAAAGAAACAAAGGCATATGAGCAAACGGCATTTGAAGATCGTTTCAAAGCAAATGGTCCTTGGCTTTTTTGAGTTTTGCTGGCTTTGACAACAATCCTCGATCGGAGGGCAACGAACGGCTTGATCCATTCCCGAAGAAAATAAAAAAGAGAAAATTATCCTTTGATGCAGTAAGAGTAAACTTTTATCCGTGTTCGACAAAAAAAACACTCCTGTCCGTGAAAGGACTAATGATAGTCTGATGGGGAAATCGCACATAATTTGTATCAGACCTAGTAATAACTTCGAGTTTGTTTTGCTCAATAACGATGTATGTTTAATCGGTTTGATACGATCGTTTTGGTTCCCAGTTTGAAACTGAAACCAGACCGACGCCCTTGAGAATCGCCTAAAACCGGCGGGTCCAATCCAGTCCGGGCAATTTCGATTGGAGTGATTCCCGTTACACATCCCTAGTCCTAGTAAGGTTTATAAACACCCGTAAATACATCCTGTTAAGGTTTGCGGGGCGATTTCGCTTAATCGGGACACAGGCGTTACTGGTAAATGGGATAATTGGTTTGATCCGATTGATTTGGTTCTCCGTTTGAAATCGGGAACCAGACCGATGCCCTTGAGAATCGCCCAGAACGGCGGGTTCAATCCAATCCGGGCAATTCTGATTAGAGCGGTTCCCGTTACACATCCCTAGTCCTAGTAAGGTTTACAAACACCGGTAAATACATCCTGCTAAGGTTTATGAGGCGGTTTCACTTAACCGGGACACAGGCGTTACTGGTGAATGGGCATGTCCAGTAGTGGACGCCTCCAGAATCACCTCCCTTTGCTTTCGGTGTCCCCTCCTACTCCTCAGTCTCCTCACCTGCTCCCGCGCCACTTTCTCCAACCCACTCTACTTCTTCTCCGCCGACGGCGACGGCGACAGGATCCGACCAACAACGCCGGTCAGAGCAGAGGCATCCGCTTTCCGTCGCTCTCTACGCCTCCGTCGGCTCGAAGCAGATCATTTGCGAGAGCGGTTGCCACGGCTTCAGCGTCCTCCGAAATGGTGAAAGCTGTTAGGGTTCATGAGTTCGGTGGACCTGAGGTCTCTCGCCTCCTCCTCTCTCTCTCTCTCTCTCTCTCTCTCTCCGCTTTTGCTTTGTAGGATAGAAAATGGGTATTCGTGTTGACTATTGAACTTCTCTGTTTGCTATCATCCATTTGTTTGAGTTCGTCAGGTTCCCTCAAAGTCTTAAATTTAGCTTTCTGTTATACTTTAGTGAGCAGGAGTTTGGGGCAGTCCAAAGTTACAATCTTGACTTTGATCGGGTGATGGGTTAATTGGTGATACACTTAGTCAGCACTACTATAGGTACGGGAATTGACATTGAGAACGATGGATGTACCGGGTCGGGTATTTTCTCGAAATCAAAATCCGAAAATTTGATAGCAATTCGCGTACAATTGTGCAGCCATAGGCCCTCATGCACCGTCTCTGATCGTTGCTAAAGGTGCATCTTTTGATAGCCGTTATGCAATTGTGTGTAGGTCTTAAAGTCGGAGGATGTGGAAATAGGTGAACCCAAGGAGGGAGAGATTCGCGTGAAGAACAAAGCCATTGGGGTCAACTTCATCGATGTTTATTTCCGTACAGGGGTATACAAGGCACCCACCATGCCCTTCACACCAGTTTTGTTTGCTGTGTCCCCTGTCAGAATTAGATGGACTTAATGCATCGAGCATGATAGTGATTATTGTGGCTTGGAATTGATTATAGTATTCGTCTAAGTCATTGTTGACAATTTGAAAAGGCCCAGAGAATGTCCTTTGGTTTTAAATGAATATTTGAATTCTTTGATCTGTTTTCAAGTCAATGCATGCTCGTGTTTGATCATCCATGGCGACATTGCGGTGTCCCTTTTGCTCTTTTGTGTTTTTATCATTAAGGGGAAATGATATCTCATGAGTCATGACTTCTGCTCACTCTCTCTTATATCGCTGGGTTTGTCTGCAGTTCCATGGTTACGTGAATTCCGAACTTGATTTGTTGAAGTACTTGACTTATATGAGACGAATTAGAGTTACCTGTTTGAGATGTCA